TTTTTTATTTTTGTTATAGTATACCGGTTATATCTTAGCGAGCGAAAGGGTGGCTGTGGAGTCCGAGCTGTTACAGCTGCTGCTGCCACATTACAAGAGTCCGCCGCATGGCAGCGGCAATCGTTGGCAACCAAGCGTTGAACCGGTTTTGTTGCGGCTGCTGTGGCAATGGTCGCGCGGGGGTGTTTGGCGACGGCAGCCATATAGCGCTTGATTGGAAATAGATTGCTATTGCCTGTTTGTGCCGTGTCGTCTTGGGCCCGTAATACATAGTGAAGAAGTGAGGAATATTTAGTAGCGCGCATTTGAAACAAGTTCCCGGCATGTTTTGTTCACTTCACTTTTTAACGTACTTTCGCTGCGGTTTTGCGCGCATACACAAGCAAACCTTAGATACTATTTAGATGCTTATTCATCAATACATTGACTACGATTTACATCTCAAGCAAAAGTATATATATAAAAAAATAAATAAATTTTGAAAAAATAACTAGCGCTCTGCTGACTAGGCCCGAACTGCTTAAGCATCTTGGCAGTTTGCCTTGAGCTTTGTTGCTTTGTTGCCATCTACATACATATGTATGTCTCTTGGCATTTCAATGTGCAACAACAATAACAGCAAAAATGCAACACAAAAGGCAAGTGAAAAAATGCAAACAATAACAATAACAAAGCGAAAAAATCCCAAGCACAAAGTAGACAGATTTGCAATATATTGATATGTGCATGCGATAGCCACACACGCACACACCACCACACACCCGTGTTTCTTTACTTCTTCAGACTTGCTTCGATGCATTGTCGCTGCTACATACATAGCTTGATTGCATATCGCATCAGCCAAGCGTTCGACCTCTGCGATTCGCATCGGATCACTTTAACTATTGGCGCATTGTTCGAGTTCGATGTGCATGATTATTTCGTCCGTCCATGATATATAGTATGTGTTGTGTTTTTTTTTTTTTGGGCTTGGTAAAGCATCTGTCGCTCATTGAACTATGCAGTGCATGATGTGGAAAAGCATGACTTTGCACTCGCATGTATAAGTGTATGCGTGTATGTAGCATCATGTAACTGTATCACGGCATATTTGCGCATGCGCACAGTACCGTTGCTGGCACTTACCGGCAGGTACTAGTATGTACTCCCCTTAGTTGTAGCAGTGCTGGTCGATGGCGAGTAAGAAAATGTATATTTACTTAGGTTCAACTGTTCCCTATTGCATTGACTGGAAGCAAGTCAAGTATGAAGTCGATTTTAATGGCCCCCTAGCTGCTAATGCCTAGTGGGCTTTGGCGTTTGCCGAGGTACGGGCTTGACGACCCCGACCTACTCCAGTCAAGAGGCTCAACTGGTTGAAATGTCTACGGCTTTCGAAACTTGTTAAACGGAGAGAAAGATGAATGTAAGTATAAAAATGGTGAAACGGAGAGTATGTCCCCAGGTGGGGGACATCGTGTCTATGTAAATAAGTTTTGCAAATCTGATAGCTAAGCGGGTTGTGCATGTCGAACGAGTCGGACGAGTCTGGCTGGTTAAGCTGGTCTGGTTGGCGAGCACTACTCTGGTCTGTTCATGGTGCGGCCCTTCGGGGAGCATCGTGGTGGCTGAGGCTTACTACCTAAATGCGGGTAGAACTAGCATATAGTGGTAGTGAAATTTGAAATGCACTACCACTAAGCATATAGTTGTAGTGAAATTTTAAATGCACTACCACTAAGCATATAGTGGTAGTGAAATTTGAAATGCACTACTATTAAGCATATAGTGGTAGTGAAATTTGAAACGCACTACCACTGAAGCCCTAGTGGTAGTGGAAACCTCGATTTAGTGCAGCGTTCCCAACCCTGCTTAAAACCATGCAGAGATGGTCAAAGACTGTTTTATTTCATAAAAATAAATCATTCGATATTCTAGGCTACAGTTTTTTTTTTTGTTGAGAATAATTACAATACGGTTATAAAACAAGAGAGGCTTAAGAAAGCTTGATTTCCAAAAAAATGTTGAAGGGCGTTGTCATCTCTTTGATAAATGAAGTGTTTTGTTCGATAAGCGTGTCAAAGTAAGGTAGTTTCAGAAAGCTTAGTTTGGAAAATGTTTTCAAAGGGGGATTGCCACCTGATTGAAAAATTTTATTCAATTAAATTGGTAAGATAAATGAAATAGCACAGTTTTAAAATCAAGCGATGTTATTTGATAAATATTTGTTTTAAAAAAATGTTTCATTAGCGTTATCACCAATCTAAAAAGTTAAGACCAAAACGAAAGGTATTTGAAAAACCTTTGGTAGAAATCAAAAAATGTACACATTCTTAGATACGGATATTTATAAAAAGGGTTGCCACTGATATTAATTTTTATACTGAGAGTTTGAGTAGTAGAATTGAAATAAAAATTTTGAAATATTTACGAAACGAAAAATATTGAAAAAAGCTACTCACACCAATGTAAGGAATAACTAATAAAAACTTTAAAAATATTAAAATATCAAGTGAAAGGTTTTTTAAAATTCATCGATTTTTCGGGTCCGGTAATATTTTATAATTTTCGTTACAATGCCAGGGAAAAGATATGCTGACATCGGTCGGCGAAGTTAATAAAATGAGCGACTAGCTACTTTAGATGAACTCACACTGATTGCCGGCAAGCGATCGAAAATGATAAAAGTCGTACTGGGATGTGCAAATTACATTTGAAAGCGACTGACCATATACATATGTACGTTCACCTCTCATATTCATACAAACTTAACTGTTATTTATGGATTTTAAATTATTGATCAAAAGTAATCGTTATTTTGCGTCGTCAAAAAAGTGAGTAGGTTAACAGTTCGTCAGAATATTCTTTTTTATTAATTTTTCTTACGGGAAAGGTAAAGGGGAGTACCACACTAATATGGTTTACTTTCGATCATCTCTAAATGAGCATATAAACGTTACTTGGCTATATGAAGCTATTGGAAAGGGAGATGATTCCACATTAATTTGATTTAGCTCCGACGATTGAATCATGGACAAGATAAGGGAACAGAACGAATTGCATAAAGTTTTTTTTTTATTATATGAGTATTGAAGTCGGTTGTTCTTTTTTTTTGCTTAAAAATTACTTTTCTATTATACATATATCGCTTTAAATTTGTATGATGTGAAAAAACTAAATCTGAAAATAACGATTATAGTATGACCGAAAAAATTAAAATTAAAATTTAATGATTATTTTCGATCGAAAAATAATAAAATAACGGTTAAATTTTATCGGCAATTTATAAATCCAATTTTAACAGTTACATTATGATTTATTGTAAAGATCATAACCATTTCGGCACCTATAAAATCAAGCGTTTTAAGTATTTCGCATTTGAGTATATGTATGTGTTGTGTGACTTCCGCAAAAGAGGTGAATTTTGAAGTTCTTAACACATCATCTTCGAATACGAATTTCCAACCATCCATTATCAACATCTTTCTGATGTCCAAGAAAGCTTTTTGGTACGCTTATAAAAAACTGATTGTAATTTTTCTTCACTCAAGTGATGTGTTTTTCTTGGAAGTTTTGTTTTTATTGTTTTTTATTTTTTTTTATTTTTTTTGTGGGTTCATATGAAAATATTGCATTTACCAGACAAAATGGAGAAAAAATCAGGCAATCGACCAAATAGTTTAATAAATATAAGAGACAAAAATGACACTTTATAAATGCTAACTTTGACACTTTTTTCGTTTCCTTTGCCTTCTTGTGATAAAAAAAAATAAAGACCGGAATGTTTTCTATCGACTTCTGAAAAACAAATTATGGGGGGTATGCTTTGAAATAAACCGATTACGCCAAATTTTTGACGGTTCACATATAATGTTATTACAAATATATGAACAAAATATCAGAGTCATATATTCGTGTGCTTTTTAGGGCATGTTAAGGCATTTTTGAGGTTAGGTTTGTATGGGAGGTATGCTTTGAAATAAAACTATCACGCCATTTTCTCATTTTTTCTTAATTTTTTTCCATAAATATTATATATTTAAAATTTCGGTTCTACGCCGATTACTTCTAATTTTTTTCAAAAAATGTATGGGGCTGTACCACTGTGTGGCGTCGGCATAAATGCAATGTTGAGGCTCGTTTTTTTTTTTTTTGTAAAATTTCACTAATTTTATCGAAAGCGATTATGAATAAGACAACGGAGATAGGGAAACGCTGTGGTATGTAAACGTTAATCCTATCTGAGTATATTCTATTAACTAGAAAGCTTTTCACGAAATCGCAAACTTTCTCTCCCTCCTATTTGCAAGCTCAGTGGAGTATATATGTAGATGACAAAAAGTAAACAAATACATGCTTATATATGTATGTATGTAGAAGTACATATTAGAATTGTATTGGTACGCAGCCATATGTGTATGTATGTATTTGTATTTGTGCATTATAAAATGATTATATAATGAGTCTGATGATTTGTTATTCCCAACGGTAGTCGTGGCTAACCACTCGCTCTTTAGCAAAGAAAATCAATTATCACATAATCAACTTGTCCAGTCTCAAACTTTCAAGGTTATACGAGTAACTATGTAGCATATTATAATTAACTAAAAAAACATTTTATGTATCCAGTTTCCTACCTGGAATCTCTTGAACACCTTCACTTTCTGATGCTAAACACTGTCGTACACACCCATACATACATATGCACGTATGTATGTATGTATAATGAGCTAATAACCAGTCATGCGACAGCGAACAACATTCCTCTGCAACACTTGCCAATAATAATTTCAGTTTTATGTGCAAGACTACACTGTACATACATATGTACATACATACATATTATGAGACCATAACCGGTTAACTCATCATGTTGCGCTTACTTTGCCGCCACCATTACTTCAACTAATTTATACATATGTCCTTCTACACGATTATGCAAAATTTACGTAAACATTTTTTTTTTTATGCTGTCTGCCAACTGAAATATTTAATTACAACCTTTTCCTTTGTCCTTGCAGCCAATTGATATGCTGTCTGGCGTTGCTGGCCAAGGCGCAAAACTCCATCGAACAACTGGCGGTCGAGCGATCGGGTGAATTGCATTTTGAGACTTCACACAAGCGTCCCGATGGAAAAGAATTCCAAACATCACACAAAATTCCCAGACATTCTTTCTTACCAGATTCTGATTTGGGTGCAATGAATTTGCTGCCGACAAAAGAACGCCCAGAATTAAATCCCGTTTTGAGTGCGCTCATCAATGAGGATGTCATGAAGAGTATCGAGGCCAAACGTGCCATTGAACAGGAGGAGCTCGAGCAAGTTAAGGCTGAGATAGATGCCGCGCGCAAGCAGGAGGAGGAACGCAGAGCAGCCGAGAGTGCCGTCGAAGCCACTTATGTTATGTTGACCACAGCTGCGCCCGCTAAAAACGATGACCTCGATGAAGAAATAAATGTTGGTTTTGTCGATCAGGCCATTAACTTGGATGCTGCCGGTTCGGAAAATAGCAAAAAATCGCGCATCGAAATTAAGAAGGGACCAAATGGTCAGGACTATGAATACGAATATGTGTACTATTACGAAGACGAGGAGGACGCCAAGCCGTCAGAATCGCCGGCTAAGGCTGAATCGACTGAACGCGGCAAGTCGCGTTACAGCAATATCGAACGCACCACAGCGGCGCCAACTGGCAATAGTCTCGTGAGCAACAAGGCTAAGGGTCGCTCATCAAGCATAGCCGACAACGCCGGCGACGACGTCGAAGTCGAACGGCTGCCTGCCAATACACGTTTCCCCAGCCGCGGCAAGAACGTTGATGCGCAACCGACGNGGTTGACAGCGCAACCTTCAACACGGACGAAAAGCAAGTGAAGGGCATTCGAAACAGTGACACCGAAACCAAATCGGCAATCGCCATTGAACAAGAACAAGCAGCCGCTGCAGCAGCACAGGCAGCTGAGAAGAAAGAGGCCGAGGAAAAGCAGCGACGTCAGCCGACTATCGGTAGCGCTGAGGAAAGTGCGACTGTCAAGGATGTGGCGGACGAGGATGTTGAGCAAACAACTTTATCAATGGAGAAGGCCGCATTAGACTTGTATGCGATTTTAGCGAATGAAAACTTTAACATGGACATGACCACGGATGCGGATACGGAGGTAACGACGGTGCTGCCAGACACCACAAACCCCGACGAGGCGGCAATAACCACTTTGTTAGACGAGGAGCCCAGCTCAACTACCACTACCACAACAACAACTACCACAGAGGCAACTACCACAACAACCACCACCACTACAACTACACCGGCACCAACGCTGTTTGGCGGCAAACGTGCCGGCTTGAATTCGTCCGGACGTAATCGCTTTAAGTTGAACAAGGGTGGCAAAAGCGAAGCAACAACGACGACAACTACAGAAGCGCCATCGGAGACACCTAAAACTGGCAAGAGTAAGTAGTGGAGGCACAGTGTGGGGGCAAAAAATTTCGAACCTCCATTAATAATATTCCATTCACAGATCGCTTCTCTCGTCCATCGATTGGCGGACGCGCGCGTCCAGGCGCACGCACCACAACTGCAGCGCCCGCGCCAGCGGAAGAGGAAGGCGAAGTAGCTGCGCCGAAAGAAGTTAAGCCCGTGAGCTCAGGTTTCGGACGTGGCAGGCGTAAGTACAGCACGCCTGGCAATGCCATAAATTTTACTAATAATTTCAACATTTTTGCACAGCACGCAATCGCTTCAA